ATAACAAAATGTTAAGTACTCCTTCCATGGTTGCGGACCAGGGAAGTTGGAGTTAAAAGTTAACAGCAGAGGAGAGGCATTTTCTTTGCACTCACACAAAAAACACGAAGAGCGTCACACTCGTCTCAAAAACGCAGACTGTTGATTCGATGAAGTGATGTCATCTCAGGTCTATTGGATTTGGTTTAGTTTTTCTTTGTCTTCTCGCACATTTTAACTAATGCTTGGCTTTATAAATTTTTGTTAGTTTTCCTGCAATTTTCTGCGTTAAGGCTTGCCTTAGTCCCTAAAGCTACAAATTCTTGATTTCTCTTGTGGGCACCAGTTCTTCCCTGAATGTGACGGCTTTATGAGTACCTAAAAGTGTGCTTTATTGTTCGAAGCTCAATATATCTTAAGTCTAAACTCCTAGGTTAAAAAATATATCTTATAGTGAGACTGGAAAGCGCCTTTGTTAGATGTTTGATCAACTTTGTTCAACTTAATTTCACTGCGCATTTTACTTTATTCCTGATGGCAGGGCTCGTTCGAGCGGGTGATTTGAACACGTTTTAGTTTTTTGTATGTGTTATCATGCTCTTTGCGTTATTGTATTTTTTGGAATTTATAAAAACCCAGACTGAGTAGCTTTTTAAAGAACATGTTTAATATTTTATCAGGGATCGAACCACCTTTGTTATCTACATAATTCATAGTCCACTTGCAAAACAATCCAAAAAATATTTATTTAAAAAAGGGCATAATGGTCCATTTTTTCTCTGATTTTACGTATAAACTCAACCAAATTACTTAAAATGAGGAGTATAACTTTCACCTTGTACTCTTTGAAATATTCACTAAGACATGCGCCCGAATAGATCGAACATGACGTTTTTAGTTAAAAACTTTATTTTAAGCTTCGGACCAGAAACTTTAAATATAATTGTCGTTTTGAGCTCATGAACTTTAAACGACAACCGAAATTATATTTAGAAATTAAGTTCTTTTTTCATATTTTAGTTATGTATGTCCGCGTTTATCAAACATCTCCCACAGGTACATATGATCTTGTCACATGTAGGAGTTCTCTGTAGCATTGCGAAAGGCAGGTTCGGCACTGGCTCTTGATAAACCTGTGGTCCAGTCTTCTGCTCATATAAATATCTGGAAACATAAGGTATTAACGTTGTGAATTTTTCCTCCAAGCTAAAAAACGAAAAGGTCTGTGTTTTTAGAAAATGACAGACAAATATTTTTAGATCCGACAAACTTCGTGTACTTCTTACGTTCCGAAACGAATATACTTTTATGTTGGGCAATTTAAGACGCTTTTTTGGGACCCTCATGCATTTATTTACTTTAGGTTGACTGCACTGTTTGAGTGCGCACTGATTAGGGGACGCCCCCTAGTCGGGAGTATTATTTTTACTTATATTGTAAGTCAGTTTGTTTAGAGATACCTATTTGTTCATGCAAAATAGAAACCACCTATAGAATACAGAATACAGAATAGCGTCTAAAAGCACTGAACATTCTACAGAAATCAAGACTCCGAACTTCTTGTACCTATCTATTTCATGAGAAGCTTTTACTCACCGGAAGCCGGTTAACTCAGGGGCCTTGCTTTCGTCATCGGCAGACAGTACACATCTGACTTAGTTTCCTATCTACCTATCCAAACGCTTGACCAGTGAATGGACGTCTGCCCTTAGAGCATAATAAAGAATGCAGGATGCCTTTTCAAGAAACTCTGACTTTGACCTCGATATTGACGATAAGCGTCACCAGGTAAGTTTCGCCGGTGCACGAAAATGTGAATACGTATCTGCATTCTGATAATTCTAGGGTGAATTCGAGTCTACAACAGACCATACGAATAATACCTTTAATTTTTAAGCGACAGACGAACACGCGGCGTGAGCAAACAATATGCAGGCTAATGCAGACCACCTAAGAAATCTCGTCATACGGAGTTTGTAAAAGTAAAAAAGTCAGAAGGTGAAGCTTGCAAAAGCTATCTGGTGTTTGCAGATAACAGCAAAACTGTGAGTTTGACGCAAAAACATGGTCTAGTACAAGCAGACCACAATCGAGGTTTCAGTGGGAGCTGAAAATGAATATGCAAGTATCTTGTGTCCTCCTAAGTAAGCAAGTAGTCGCTTCAGCAATTTGCATACGCAGACTCCTAGGTAACGAGGCACTTCCGTCAACCGTTATCTGCGGCCAACCGAGCAATTCCTTAATTTGCAGAACTTAAGGCAACCAGTGCGCTTCACAATCTCGAATACTACTCACCAGCATAGCTTTAACATCCAGTAGGGGAAACGGGGCTTTGGAACAGGTTCAGAATCGGAAAACTAGGACTGCTCGCTCCAACCATGATATATGTCCATAGAAAATATTACATGGGTTTAATGATCAGACGTCACAGCAGGTGTGAAACTATGCTGACCTTATTAACCAAGTATTTTAGTCGATATGGAGCATGGCTAGTTTTTCCAGCCTCGTCACAGACCATAAATGTTCCGTTGAGTACTCAAGTGGAAATGGTGAGAGTTTAACAGTTTTTAATCAACACTGGGGACGAATCATGTGTCTTACATGCGGAATATTCAAAGGTAATCTTGCCTTTTTAGTGGAACGCGAGGCAACTCACGGAGGTATGCACTAACATCGGGTTGGGTTATACCAATTCTATTAATTTTTAACCTATGTCTACCCATTGACAGACGTGCTTATTATCTCTATTCGGTTCTGCATGTCTCGTCCTTTTGATTTCTCCTCTGTTGTTTGTGCCTTTGTTGACTGACGTGTGTCGACAAGTATTTTGAAAGTTAAAGCAGTTTGTCGTTGCTTTAGTGCTAGTTTCGTCTGCTGCCCACACGAGGTAGAGTCAAAAAGCAGCGAGATACTCAGTAGCCACTTTTCTTCCCGAATAGATCCTACGCTTTGACTGAAACTTCCTAATTAACTAACATTTAGTTGTATTCACATAAAACGCATATTATCTGCCCAACGTTTAGTTTTTTTTCACATCCAGCTGTTCTTGTTTAGTCACTTACCTCCATGAGCACTTGCTTGCTTCTGAAGTATTTCTTGCAAGTGTATAATGTTCCCATATGTTTTTTCTCTTCTACACAGCCCAACCGACATGAAGCAAATCAGCGTTTTTGGTTGTGGTGCCATGGGAACCAACATCGCAAATTTGTTGGCTGAGAACGTGGCTAGGCTTGACGATTATAAGAAGACGGTAGATTTTATGATTTTTGGTCATTACAATTTAGATATTATGGTTCGTTCGTGATGAGGAATGTTTTGGTGAGCGATTAATTGACGTCATCAACGGCAATCGTGAAAATCCGAAGTATGCGCCAAATGTGCATTTGAAGGACAACATCGAAGCAAATGGGGATGCTGCCGCTGTTGCCAGTGCATCAGACGTGATTTTTTTTGTTTATGCTACCCGTCATGTAAATGAAATATTGCGAGAAATAGCAGGTCACCTGAAACCAAACGTGCTGTTTATATCGTTATCCAAGGCAAGTTTACTAATTCTGGCTTTTTAAGTCATATTTTTGGCCTTTACTTCTGAGTTTGTTTTAGAACATTCAATGCTATGTCAATAATTTATCAAGATTTTTTGTCCGTCTGCGTGATTTGATATCCCTCGGACTTATTTTGTTGTTGATCGTTTGGTCAAATGTAAACTAATTATCTCTTCAAACTCAAAAGAACCGTTTTTTACCGACGGCAATCAGTAGTTGCTTCCGTTCAGTCATTTTTGATTAAGATTTGACTTTGATAAATGCTTAATGATTCATATACAACCTTGTAAGTGACTCTGCCAGCACACGGCCCCGGTCTAGGCGGGGCCAGGCGGGGCAACCCGGAGCTATACAGGGCCAGTGGTCAACTAAATTTATTGTGCAATTTTTTTAAATCTACTTTTTTGTCAAAAAATTATCCATAACCATTGGCTTGCGTCTTCTTCTTTGATAAAACAATGAAATTGGGCGTTAAAACAGGAAAACGGGGGTGCACGCTACGAAAATATTTTCTGTATGCGGGGCTTAACGGGCTAAAATCCCCGTCTTCTGGCCCCGTCGAATTCAGTGGCACGTGGACTGAATTCAACGGGGCCAGAAGACGGGGATTTTAACCCGTTAAGCCCCGCCTACGGAAAATATTTTCGCAGAGTGCGCCCC